CAGCTTCTTCCCACCCCTGACTAATGGAAGCAGAAAGAAGAAAGGCTATCTCAGGCCAGGGGCTTCCTGTGCTGCTGTGCTTCCCCAGTCCCTTTTCTTTATAATATGACTACTGTGAGGATGAGGAGGAGATGGTGCAAGGTCTTTTGAGGGAACTTTTGTGATATATGCGATTCCAGTTTCAGCCACTAGCGGCTTCCCTTGCTGCAGACAGGGGGAATCTATTCCTTCTGTAGAATCACAGAGTCATTGGAGTTGGAGAAGACTACTAAGATCACTTAGTTCAACACCAACCCATTCCCACCATGCCCACTAACCATGGCAGTCCCACATCTCCCCGTATCTTGAACACTTCTAGGGATGGTGACTCCACCACCTCCCCAGGCAGCTAGTGCCAATCCATTACCACTGTTTTGGAGAATAATTGTTTCCTAATATCCAACTCGTATGTCCCCTGGTGCAATTTGAGGCTGTTACCTCTTGTCCTATCATTGCAACGTGAGAGAACAGGCCAACCCCCAACTCACCACAGCCTCCTTTCAAGTAGTTCTAAGAGCGATAAGGTCTCTCCTGAGCCTCCTTTTCTCCATACTGAACAATCCCAGTTCCCACAGCTGCTCCCCGTAAGACCCCTTGTCATGTATGTCATATGTCTTATGGGCCATAGCTCTGCTGCCCTTCTCTGGACACAGTTCAGGGCCTCAACGTCTTTCCTGTAGTGAGGAGCCCAAAATTGAACACAGCACTCAAGGTGCGGCCTCGACAGAGCTGAGTATAGAGAGATAGAATCATAGAATCATAGAATCACCAAGGTTGGAAAAGACCTAAAAGATCATCCAGTCCAACCTTTCACCTATTACCAATAGCTCCCACTAAACCATGTTCAACTGATCAACTCTCTGCTCTGCTGGCTACACTATTTGTGATACAAGCCAGCATGCCATTGGCCCCCGTGGCCACCTGGGCACACTGCTGGCTCATGTTTATCTGAGTGCCAACCTACACCCCCAGCTCCATTTCTTGCACACAGTCCTTCAGCCACTCAGCCCCAAGCATGTAGTGATGCACGCGGCTGTTGCAAACGAAGTACAGGACTCGGCACTTTGGACCTTTTGCCACCTCCCAAGTTTTGAGGTCATTTTTATTTTTGTCTGTGAGCCATGAGATACGGGTTGCTCCGAGCCCAGAGCTGAGCGAGGGAAAAATTCACAGCAAAAAATCCCCAGAGCCTGGCGGCGCAGCGCGGCCACAGCGCGAGGTGGCCACTAGGGGTCACCCCCTGCTTGCTGCTATAGACCCGAAAATGAAAAAACAAAAAACAAAACAAACAAAAACAAAACAAACAAACAAACAAACAAAAAAAAAAAACAAAAAAACAAAAAACCAAAACTAAACAACCCAACAAACCCCAAACCTAAAAGCCCATAAAAATGCATAAAGCCCACCCAGTTCCTACCCCTTACCCTGAGCAGGTTGCCCCCCACCAGCTCAGGCTGCCCAGGGTCCATCCAACTTGGCCTTGAGCACCTCCAGGGATGGGGCACCCACAACTTCTCTGGGCAGCAGTGCCAGGGCCTCTCTGCTCTCTGAGTAAAGAGCTACTTTAAAGCCAATTAAAATCGCCCCTCTTTTCTTCTTGTTCTATTACTATGAGCCTGTGTAAAAAGCAGGCTTCCTTCCCATTTGTAAGTTACTTTCATGCCAGGGATGCCCAATCTTTCAGCTTGCCTGGGTTGCGCTGAACAGAGAATTGTGTTGGGCCACATATAAAATATATATAATATAGTTAATGTATATAAGTAACTAAACTTTTATTTATTTATGTAAAAAAAAAAAAAAAAAAAAAAGGAGGGCAACAAAAACATAAAACTAGGAAGTTGGGCACATATACTTTAGACAATGAGTCCTCCCTGGAGCCTTCTCTTCTCCAATCCCAGCTCCCTCATCCTTTCCTCACAGGAGAGCTCCTCCAGCTCTCAGATCACCTTTGTGCCCCTACTCTGGACCCACTCCATCAGCTCAGCATCCTTCCTTTACTGGGTGCTCCAGACCTGGATGCAGTACTTCAGATGGGGCCTCATGAAGGCAGAGCGGAGGGGACAATCCCCTCCCTGTCCCTATTGCCACCCCTCTGTTGGTGCAGCCCAGGTTGCTGTTGGCCTTCCAGGCTGTGAGAGAGCACTGCTGGTTCATGTCCAGCTTTTCCTCCACCAGAACCCTAAGTCCTACCCACTGGTCTAATACGCTTAATGGCAGCCTGCTTCTCTGTATCACAGTTTTTAAAACCTTAATACATTAGAAGCCTGCTTTTCTTTTTTTTTTCAGGAAGGACGTTTTCCTTTTCCTCAGAGCAAGCTCAGGAAATGAGAGAAGCGGTCAGGAAGCCAGCTAAGCACCAATGCAAACATAAAGCAAAGAGCCACGGGTAATTTTCTTTAAATATTTTAAAGCATTGATTTAAAAAAAATGACAAAATTAATGCTGAATCTCCCTCTGAAGCATATCTCATTAGTCTGCTCATTTGCTTTTGGCAAGCAGACACAGCAAGGACCAAAATAAAACGTTACAAATTACAGTGAGCTTTGCAGCACAATAACATTTGTGTTTGGGATTTAACCTGTTTCCTCTGGTTCCGTACCCTACGTCTGACACACGGAAAGTCCCCACTGTCAAAAAAAATCCCATGTAACCTGAAGAACAGCTGTTTCTCAGTGATCCCTTATCGTGTGAGCCCTCATTTGCTGCTGCTGCCCTCTGAGCCACTTCTGTGCTGCATGGTAGGTTGCTCCCAGAGTGGAAAACAAAACATCTGGCTGTCAGCAACACAAGGCTGCTGCAACAGCTGGAGTTTGCCAGGATACTGCTGGCAAGTACGATGAGCTCAATTAGCCCAAGTGTGCCAAAAACTGTGCTGTTGAGCATCAGAGGGAGAGCTGCTATGGGGTTGTGCCACAGGGCTCTCACCCGTGGCTGAGCAGTTCAAACCTAGACTTGATCATTCCAATAGAAGCAACAGACTTGGGTTCCCAGCAGCCTCACTGGAGGCTTTGCAGCTCCAGCCTTGCAGAGAGGAAGAGGAGGGCTTAGGGAGCAGCTCTGCAATGCTCTGCCTTCAGGAGCCTAGGCAACATAATCCAGACAGTTCATGTCTCTCATTTGTGGCCACACAGCTCTTTGAGGGGTCAAATGGGCCAGATCTCAGACACAAGTTAAGAATAACTTGCAACATAAAATGATAAATCTGGATGTTATTTTTAACCCAGAACTTCTTTGCTGCTCTCTCCTGCAGCTCAGTGCCGCATGTAGCTGGACAGACAAAGTTAGGAGATGAAATGCAGTGCAGTTACAGAAGTTGATGCTCCTGAAGGTCCTTTTTGACCCAAGTGATTCAGATTCTCAGAATGGGTGGCTGAGGAAGGAGGGTGTGTTGGGGACCTCCACAATGAAGGCAGCATCTCGTGTCAGCACATTTTCACATCACTGGGACTCCTGAGTTCTGGCTGCAGAACTCTGCTCTCCTTCACTCTGAACTTCTCAACACTTAATCTTTAAAGAGAGCTTTTACAAAACAAGACAAAGTCAAAGAAACATACAGAACCTCCAAACACAAATAGCAGAACAACCACAACCCCTCAAACATTACTTCTGAGGTTTTTGATAGGACAAGAAGTAACAGCCTTCGGTTGTGCCAGGGGAGATTCAGGATGGATATTAGGAAAAAATTCCTCTCAGACAGAATGGTGAGGCATTGGCACAGGCTGCCCAGGGAGGGGGTGGAATCACCATATCTGGAGGTGTTCAAGAGCCATGGAGATGTGGCACTGAGGGATGTGGTTTAGTGGTCGCAGGCATGGGCTGATGGTTGGACTAGCTGATCTTGTTGATCTGTCCAACCTTTATGGCTCCATGATTCTCCATTCGTGCCAACAAATCCAATATGAGGCAGATCCCCCCTCCCCAGAAACTCTTTAATGTTTGTTATGTTTAACTGTAGGTATATTAAAGACTTCTAATTATAAGTTTCAAATCAGAGATCTCATTAATCCCCAGCTAAGAACATTACCACGATGAGCTGCCAAAGGCATGAGGAAATCACTCTAATTATCCGTTCTAGGTGCTGCTCTTCAAAACTTGATTAGCTATAGATACACAGGTGATAATTCCTACTGTCTTTATAGCACATCCTCACTATCATCCACTGTAGTCTGATTTAGTTCCTTATTAGAATAACACTATGCTAATTAAGCAATCCTGCATACAGAACATTTCGTGATGTAGATTAAGTGGGTTAAGATGATGATTAATATGACAAACTGTGCTATCAGTGTCAAAAGAAACCAGTGAAAAAGAAGCTCTCACCTAACTGGTGAACAGGAATAAATAAAAAGTAAGTGGAGCATTAAAAAAAAAAAAAAAACCAACAAGAAAATAAGCTAAAAATAAAATTGCAAAAGAAAAAAAAAAAAAAAAAAGAAAAACGTAGGCAGTAGGTTGAATTTGTGGTCATGTATTTTCCTCACCACGCACCAGGACCCAAATTCTCTGCACATCTCTGGGTGCACACACTCTAACACATGGAGGAAAACACAGCTTTACGCAGAGCCCTGCTTTCACCCAGAGCACTGCTAAAGCAGCAGCTGTGTTTCCATGTTTTCACTCCCATTTGGTGCTGGTGACACACTGGGACAAGCCCAAGCACACAGCACAGCCTCCCCAGGCAGTGCTGGGTTCCGCACACCACCTTGGGAAGGCTTTCTCTTTCCACCCCCTTTGCAAGCACTGAAACATGTACGTACTTTGCTCTTGCCCAATGATGTTTTGTTCCCAGCTACTTCCAGTTGGCAAAGGCACTCTCCCAACCCACGTGAGATGCAAACTGTGCTGCTTTAACCCTTTTGGGCCATGCATTCATTGCAACGTGAACACTTCTTCTGTCAGGAGCAAAGAGTTTGCAACAGTGGTGTAGCAAATTTAGGAAACAAAGTCACTGAGAACACTGGTGATCCACAGAGATTAAAGTTTTATTTTGATATAAAAATTAAATAGCAAAGTTTGTTTTATTTTTTACAGTGATAAATTAGAACTTTACAGTACATACATCAAAGCAGATACATTTTCTGTACACCCAAAATAATCAGTGTCTACTTCCTTAGAAATTCAGGTAAAGGAGCTGACTTGTCTGCTCAACAAAGGAGCTTGTACCTCTCCAATAGATGCTCCTGAGACCCGTGGTAAGTGGAGTGGGGTTGGAGAACACAGCACAGTGCAGGAAGGTAAGGGCCGTAAGGTCTCTGCTTGTATAATTGCAGCAACTGAATGTCTGGGACAGGATTAGTCATACATTTTTTGGCTTTAAATTCTTAACAACGTTGAAATGAGAGAATGTACGAGTTGCAGATGCTTTTGTAACTGCTGGGTTTGGGGTTGTCTGTTGTGACTTCCTACTCAGCATCCCCAGAACAAGGCAAGGTGAATGCACATGGATGCCCAGAAAGGTGGGGGATGCCCCGTCCTTCAAAGAATTCAAGGTCAGGCTGGATGAAGCTCGAAATGATCCAACTGTAGGTGTCCTGTTCATTGCAGGGGAGTTGGGCTTGGTGACCTTTAAGGGTCCCTTCTAACTCAACCAATTCTATGATTCTATGATTTGTGGGATGTAATTTTGTTGGTGCTACAGCTGACGTTGCTTTGGGGTTGCCACAGTGGCCCTGGGAACACTTCCTTCAGGGATAGCAGCTGCTCCCCACCTCCTGCCCATAGCATTTGAGTGCCTCATGCTGTAGTGGTCCCCAGCTCCCTCATGAGGCTATACAGTGCTGTCCTCATTTCACTCATTTCCAATGTCCCCAACCAGTCAGGAGATCAGTCTGGCACAGTCCACAGGGTCACAGGCAGGGATGTGATAACAGGAGTACTACTTAACATCCACTTCTGTGTACATAACACAGTTAAAAATGCTGTTTATTGGATCAGTCAGGTCAAACAGGAGTCATGTCAGCCAGGAAACTATCCAAACCGCTTCAGATTGAAGGACGCTTGAGTGAATGTGACACCTTGGCACAGCCTGACGCTGCAAGACAAGGCTCATACTGTGTCTTCACCCTTTGCAAGTTAAAATACAGCTGCTGATCACACATCCCTTGCTGCGATGGGAGATGGAGCACGTGGTGGAGAGGCTGAGCCATCTGAAGATTTCCGACTTGCAGAACTCCTTGCCCACAGAGGAATAACCAGATCCAAACACAACACTAATGGTGAGAGAATTCAGAGAGAGGATCAAAAGGCCCAGATGGTATGCAGTGCTGGCCGAGACAATAGCTGCACATTGAGCAGAATGTGTCAAGTTGTCACTAGTTCTGCTGGAGAGGGAGCCCAACCACAAAGACTGCAATTAGGGTTGGTTTGTTTTTTCAGTGTCTTTTTTTTTTTTTTTTTTAATATGCTCTAGCACATGTTTCAACATTGCCATTGAAACAATACACGCTGCTGGGACAGAGTAGGAATGAACCATGGTTTGGGAAGCAGCACATGGGCACCTGTAGGAAAAGTGAGGGCAAACGCGTGCTCTCAGCTGCCCTTGAAGATCACAGCAGTCAGGGCATTGGGGGATGCCCAGCAGCTAAGCAGGATCCACACACACAAAGCAAAAATTTGGAGTACTCAGAACTGAAGGTCCTTCAGAGGGACAGAGCACTGAAACAGCATTCTCTTAAATATTTATGGGTTACTGTTTGCATCACCTTCCTTAACAGCCAAACAAGTCCCAGACACAAAGTTCAAGCTCCCTGTGAACTCAAGCCAGTACCTCCTCAATTAAAACTTGGCAGTTGCTGTGAAACAACATTAATTGTAAAGAAGTTGGATCTCTTCTCTTGGATCCATTTCCAAACACTGACAACGTCTCTGTCATTCCTGAGGACTGAATGCCTGCACACATTCTGTACGCATCTATACAAAATAAAATAAAATAAAACCACTCCATAGCTGTCAGTGAGCAACTGGAGCGTCGTTTTGAGGCAATCAGCTGCATTGCGATGTCATGGACTGAGAATGTTCTTTTAATTGTAACTGACACACATAATTATACAACTGATCTGTGTGAACATGAGGTTGCCAAGAAACTCAACGTTTCACTTCCCCCAGACTGGCGTCTGCAGAGATACCATCACGCTGAACGAAATATATTAAGACTTAATTGCTTCATGCAATGGGTCTCCAGAGAGACAGATAAGTTTACTCGGAGAAAAACTGACATTGTTCTGAAGAGACCCTCAACTCGATTTTCTCTTTCCTGTAGGAAGGAGCACGATAACATAAGACTTTATTTAAAGCTATTAAGCTCAGCAAAACGAAGCAGTCAGCTGGAAATAGCAGTAGCACCTGAAGGAATAGGAACAGAGGCAGGCGGACGACGACAGCTGATGTGTAACAGTACGCACAGTTTCCAGATTCCCACAGTTCCTCTACTTCTGACCACGACCTTGAGCAAAGCTTTTTTAAAAATACAAAGCACTGACAGAATCACAGAGTGGTTCAGGTTGGGAGGGACCTCAAGAGGTCCAAATTCCTGCTCAAAGCAGGGTCTCAGCACTCAGATGAGACCAGGTTACAGGCAGTGAAAAGAACAAGCCAAAATTATTACTAGACCATCAGATGACTTAAGAGTCATTCTCACTAATACCTCACCAAATCCTTCTTTTGGGTAATTCCCAGACTTGGGAAGTTCACATGATTCTCTGTTGGAGGACCTGATCCTTGGCTGACTTGTGCAGCCTAAGAGGGCGACGGAATTCCCCAGGGCACAGAGACAGCCCTCAGAGAGCACTTCCTCCACAATGCTCAGAAAGAAGAACACCTATCTGAGGTCCTGGATGCTCCATCTTCTGGTAACTGCACCCTGCCTCAGCCCAGAATTTGGACCTGCACTGCCTTTCCTCCTGCAGCTGCAAGATGATGAAAATAAAACAGTATCCCACAGCTGCGGCCTACTATCCCATTGCTTTTAAAGACTTTGGTATATTGCATCCTGCTTTTAAAACAAAAGGAAGATAACGTGTTCAGATATTTCACAGCTTTTAAAGCCTCCCTGGGCTTTCCTATTTCGGGCAGCACAGTTTATGGCTTTCATATTTCCAGCATTATTTGTTTGTTTGTTTATTCTTTAAGGCATTTTTTTCTCCTTCCCCAAGAGACAAGTTTTGTAACCATCTCCTCACTCAGCTCCCAACACTTACGCTGCAGTTCTTACACACGAACAGTCCTTCAGGTGAGAGCAGTCAGACCATCTGGACGCTGTCCTTTTCTCACACCACAGTCTCGTTCCCTTTCCCAGGTTTCACCCAACCGTCCGCTCTTTTCTCCCGTTTCACTTTCCCTGAGTTCACCAGTCTGTTTGAGCACTTCTGCCACGTGTGCAGAGTTTTGGCTGACCAGATCCACATACCTGAAGTGATGCCCACCAGGAGGGACATGAAGATTTTGAGCATCTCCACTGCCATATTGGAATCGTCAGCTGAATAGCGAAAAACGGCCCAGTTGGAGATTTCGTAGAAATAACATGCAATGACACACGTTGCTGGGACTGTGTACAGCACTGAGAAGACACCAATTTTAACCATCAGCCTCTCCAGTTTGTCAGTTTTAGTCCCGTCTTTCTGAAGATTGGATCTGATTTTAAATAAGGCCACTAATCCCGCTGCAATGAATAAAGTTCCAATAACCAGGTAGGTAAAAAGCGGAGCAACCACGAAGCCCGTCAGCGCATCCAGGTTCTGGTTGCCAACGTAGCACAGGCCAGTGAGCTCATCGGCATCTACCAGTCTCATAATCAAAATGACGATGGTCTTCACTGCAGGGATAGCCCAGGCTGCGATGTGGAAATAAGAGCTGTGCATTTCTATAGCTTCGTGGCCCCACTTAAGTCCTGCAGCCAGAAACCACGTCAGTGTCAGAATAACCCACCAGATGGAGCTAGCCATCCCGAAAAAGTACATCAGCAAGAAAATTATAGCACATCCTGTGTTCTTAAGACCTTCTTGGATAAGAACAGGTTCTGCTGCCTCTTCAAAATCACAGGATATCCTTTCCCGGCCCACAGTTAGCCTCACAATATAAGCAATGCTATAAATATTGTAGCACATGCTCAAAAATATGATTGGGCGCTCTGGGTAGGAAAATCTGGATGAATCAATCAGGAAGGTCAGGACTGTGAACGCAGTTGATATGAAGCACAGACTGGCCCACACTGCCATCCAGATATCTGTGAACTCCTTCGCTGACCTGCTGTAGAGCCCAGCGTCATAGCCGCACTTCAGGACACAGTCCAGGTTTCTCTTGACCCAGATGTACTGATCTGAATTAGATCCCATGCTGTGACACTCCTCTCCAGGCTGCAAGGATGTCTTGCTATGAAGGGGAACCTCTTCATCTCCTGGGCCCTCCATGCACATGTGGTTGTGATCATTCTGGGGAGGGAATTTGCTGCAGTTCAGGCTGTCCGGCCAGGCAAATCCAAACTCTTTTAAAACAGGTTCACATCTTCTTTTGACGGAGAGGCACATGCCACCACAGGGACCTATGGGGATGTTAATCTTCTCCGTGCACATCGGAACATAGACCGAACAAAGGAAGAACTGCAAGAAAGAGAAACAAAAATCATGACCGCGTTAGGAGAGATTCCAGTGGGTCAAAATACAACAAGTTTTTGCCTTTTTAGCAGTAATTTTTGGTCCTTTGCCTTAAACAACAGGAAGCAGCGCAAAACAAACCAAGAACAATAAAAGCAGAGGAAGAAAACTCCTAGAAATGCTGCTTTCTTTCAGTTCAAATGCACTCTGCACGCAGAGCCCACACGTTTTGCTCCCTGGATGAGCTCCACGCAAACTGAGCCCATCAGTTTCAATATAGTGAGCTGGACTCAGCCAGATGTGAACCTCCAGGGTTTGCAATTTAGGAAAGCAAAAATACAAACAACAAAAAACAAACAAACAGACACCCAAAAAACAGACAACCTCCCTCCCCCCCAAAAAAAATCCAGAAAGCAAACCCTAAACAAACTGAAGAGGTTTAAAGCAAATAGATTCGTCGGAGGCACTGCCTGGAGCAAGCAAACAGAAAAAAAGGCATTTAGCGACCGCTTCGATTCGCGGTCCCACGAGCACGGCGTGCTCCTCTCTCACTGTAAGGTCGACTACTTTCTGTTTTTTGCAGCAATAAACATTGCCGCTTTCTCCGCTCTTCCGCGCGTTCGCACGCAGCTCCTCGCCATCCCCGCTCCCCGACCGGTGTCACAGCTGCGCTCAGCTCCCGCTGCCGGACCCCCCCCCCCCGGCCGACGCTCACCTGGAGCTGGCTGGAGCAGCCGTACTGGATGAGCGGGGTGAAAGTGGTGAGCTGCAGCTCGGCGTCCGCCTGCAGCTCGTGGCCCACCAGGTTGGGCATCTTGGTGACATTGTAGCCCAGGTTCTGGCACATGGCGATGCGGATGGCGTCGCAGCGCCTCTCCTCCTCGTCGCCGAAGCCCCGCGCCCCGCCGAGCAGCCCGGCCAGCAGCAAGGCCAGCATTCGGCCCCCGCCGCCGCGCCGCTCCATCGCCACCCCCGGCCCCACCTGCCCCGACCCCGGGCTGCGGGCTGCGGGCTCCGGCCCCGGCCGCGCCGTGCCGCACGGGCCGGCTCCAACGGGGAGGGGCCGAGGGCGGCCCCGCTCTTAAACCGCCGCGCCAAGAAACTGCCCAGGGGAGGGACGTTGCCTCCCCGAGCCGCCGCCACCTCCTCCTCCCAGCGCCGCCGCCCCGAGGACGCGCCCCGCGGTGCCGGGGAAGCGCCCCGCTGTGCCCCGCCGCCGGCAGCGCTCGCTGTCAACGCCAGGCGCTCGTTCGCTGCCTCCCGCGCTCCGGGGCGCAGTGCCTGCTGTCCCCATCGTGCGTCCCCGCCGGGCCGAGGCGTGAGGCCCGCTCCCACTCAGCACTGCCGGCCGAAAGGGCTCCCCGAGGGCATGGCTGCCTAGGGGCAGGGTAAGGCCGAGCCTTCGTCAGGCTGTGGGCAGAGCCGGGGAAGTTTCCGAGGTGCTGCCTATCCTCTTTCATGTGTCCGCTTCATAGAGTCGCAGAGTTGGAAGGGACCTTAAAGCCCATGCAGTTCCAACCCCTAACATGGGCTGGTTACCACTCACCTGCTCAGGCTGCCCAGGGTCCAGTCAGCCTGGCCTTGAGCACCTCTAGAGATGGGGCACCCGCAGCTTGGTCCAGAGCACAAGCCTAATGGACAGTGGCTCAGGAAATTGGGATTGTTTGATCTGGAGAAGGGGAGACGCAGGGGACGCTTTATCACCCTCTAAAACTCCCTGACAGGAGGTTGCAGCAAGGTGGGTGTCAGCCTCTTCTCACAGGTAACGGCAATAGGCTGAGCAGGAATGGCCTCAAGTTGTGCCAGAGGAGGTTCAGGTTGGATATTAGGAAACATTTCTTCTTCTAAAGAGTGGTAATGCATTGGAACAAGCTGCCCAGGGAGGTGGTGGAGTCCACCTGGGTCACGGTGTTCCTTCGTGGGCAGCAAGAAATGAGGAGGGCACTGCTATCAGTAGCTCATGGTATTTGTGTAAATCTCATAAATACGTATGGATGTAGCACTCGTGAATGATGAGAGAAAAGGGCTGTGGGATTGAGCTGTGGAGTGTCAGCGGGAGGATGGATTAAGAGCAGACAAATGAGGCTTCCTTTCCAGATAATTTACACCTGTAATAAAATCTGGTAGAGCTGGTTGTGCCTTTAGCAAAAATATGTCATCTATTAATGACTTGTTTGTAGAGCACTTGGAAAATGTTTGTAGAGCCCTGGTTAAATGACCTCTGGCTGGGTGCATGTCTCTGTGCATGCAGCGTGGGACACGTGTGGGTGCTCTGTGGCAGAACTGTGTGTCCATCTGTGCATGGCCATGATGCTGACTGATCTTCTTCCTCAAGTGCTAGAGATAGTGTTTTAATGGATGTTTCATGAGCGCAGGTGTTTACATAGCCCTCATCACCCTGATGCTTAGCTCCAATAAAGTGACTGCGGACTTATAAAACCCTTGTGAGGCAGACAAGTTATATTATCTTAACTTTTTTAACACAGGGTCAGACGGTGCTGTGGTCCCAAGGTCGTGCAAGGAGCCTGCAGTACAGTCAGCAGCTCAACCCGTATCTGGTGAGGGCTGTATTTACTCATAAGCATTGCCTTCTGTGACTAGCAGTACTCAGCTGCTAATCTGGGTTGGTGATAGTGCTGTGAACTCACACAGTGTACTGCAAATGTCCACTGAGCTGTTCCCAGCCCCACCAAAAGCGTGATCTAAATCAGACAGGGAATGGGCACTGGGCATTCCATACAGGCTAACACACAAAAGCAGAAAGCAAAGCCTCCCATGGGAGTAGTTGTGGTCTAAATTCTGTAGGTAAGGAGGTTGGAGGGAGGAGGATCACGGTGACCCTAAAAGCTATGAATCTTTTTCTTAGATAAAATCATTTGATCTGGAAGGGGCCCTCAAAGGTCATCTAGTCCAACTCCCCTGCAATGAACAGGGACCCACAGCTAGCTCAGGTTGTTCAGAGCCCTGTCCAACCTGTAGTGGGGTAGACCAGAGCAGAGCTTTGCCTAATTCCCAGGAAACAATTTGTGTGCTGCACATTCAGCAAAACCCTCTGCCAGTGGACCCAGTCCTTTGACTCAGTGGAAGGGACAGGAGGACATGTTAGAGCTGCAGTGAGATATGAGTGTCTCTTAGAAAAAAAACACCACCCCCCCCAAAAAAATAATTGCCACTATTGCTTTTTCTTTGAGAACACAAAAATAAATATTAGGAAGTGCTACACTGCCATGTTTGCTTTGGAGAGTCTTTTAGATAATGGGAATTAGTTTTCAAAACAAGAACACTGGCAAATCATAGCAGAGGTCTGAGTTGGAAAAAATGGTAATTACACTGCTTTGAACCTTGTGCATATATTAACAGTGATTAAATGTCACCATGATAAGCATGTGCATAATAGCTTCTTGAAACAGATCAAAGTAAGAAACCTCTGGGATAGTTGGTGTAGAGATTCTTAGATTACTGGGCAGCTGTGAGATTCTGGCCTGAGTCCTGCACAGCCCAAGCTGTGTTATTTCCTTGTTTGTTATTTGAATCGCAGTGTATCTTTTTTTATTTTTATTTTAAGAAATATGATTTTGAGGTTGCCTTCATTAAAGAATCAGCTGCTAAGAAGCTCCCTATTTATTGTGGCTGCCAATAATTATATCTGGTTTCTAGTTTGAGTTATCTCCTGCTTCCAGCCTCTGACTTCTGTTGGATCTTTAGTGGCCAGAGTGAGAAGCCATCCCCAAGATCATCCCTGTGAGTAATGTCAGACCAAATAAGTCACCCTTTGGCCTTTTTGCAGTAAGCAAAATAGATTGAACTTCCCGAGTTTCTTACTGCAAGGTGTCTTTTGCAAAGCTTTAACCATGCTTTTGATTTTAAAGGAGTGAGATTTGAGCCTGACTTTTTGTCCCTTTAGAGTCAGCTAAGACAAGCAAACAACTGCAGGGGGCAACTCACATTATAGGAATTACATGAATATAAAATATTACTTATAGTCTGTTATTGTATTTCTGTTGTTATAATTTTCCTCTGAAGTTTTTATGGTTTTTTTTTTGCATATTTACTTAAGCTGCAAGTGTATTTCTTTGTCATAGAATGTCTCCAGTATCTCTCAGATTCTTGCAGCAGGAGATCTGGGAAAATTCAAAACTGAATATTTTCAAGGCATCAGTGTTTTCCTGAACGCTGGTGTTAGAATGTGATTTGGCTCTCCAGTAGAAACAAGACTCATGTCAGACGTGCAGGTCTTCATTCCTACACGAGATCAGCCTGCTTGTACATCCAAGGATGCTATCTGCCCTTCAGACCACAGCCTCACACCGAAAGCCACTACTGCTTGTGGGTAGACCTGAGGAAACTCAGGCACCCTCTCCATTTCTTTTTAAGCGTGGATACCACACTGGAATTTGATTTCCTTAATCAAATTTAGATGTCTACTTATGGTCAGGTGAATTTCATTTTAAAAACTAGCCCAGAAGTGCAGGGTCACTTGGAGATGTCTAATGGTGGCTGGATAATGGCCACTTCTGGGACACAGAGGGAATAGACGTTGCCATCCCACAGATTTCTGACAAAGTTCTTGGATACAAGTGAGCAAAACAGGCAGGTTTTTAAACATGTGCAAATCCTAGAGCTGTTCTGGGACATCTCCTTATAGTACCACTGAAACCATAAGATTGCATTTTCACCGTTAGTCAGTTTTCTGTAACTTTTCTCATCTGTGTTTTCCAAAACTCAGCCAAATATCTGTTGGACATTTGTCACTTGCATTGTTTATTGACAGTTCCACAACTTCCATCTTGTAACATAGCAGTACCATTTGTGGCTCTGTCTTGGTTTACATAAGACTCCATCGTCTTTGACCACCTGTCCATTAATTTTCTCTTTTTGCTTATTTTATAACATTCTTTTAATTCCTTTTGTGTTTGTTTTCATTCAACTCAATGTCTTCTTTCTCCTGTTTATCGCTGATGTATTTTCTTAACTTTATAGTGTTAACGATGTTATTAAAGGTGTTTTCTTTAATTTTCCACCTATACATTTAGCTAAATTTTTTTAAATCAAGGCAGATTGCTTTCATAATGGCTTTTCTGGAATCTAGTAAAATCTTTACAGTTGATTCCTATTACTATGCTTGTTATTCTGTACTTTGAGAGGCTGACCTTTTTAAAGCAGGAAGCATGTCTCTGTTTCGACATGGCTGTAGCCTCCTTTAAGGTACTGCTGTGCAGCTGAGCTGTGACACATCCATACAATATCTGAATTCACATGTGTAATTCCTTGCATGCCAGCATGGGTCAATAATTGCTCCATGACCCCTGAAAGTCAATAATGTTAACTCAGTCTGCACAGAGACCTCAGACTTTGTTTTCACAGCACTGTAAACAGGAAATTTCAGCGCTGTTTAATATGCACCATTTCAAGAAACCATTTGCATTTAGCTGTCATCAAAATGGGTGCCAACGCTCGAGAATTTATCAGGCTGTTTGGGTGGGAATCTAGAAGGCACAGGTGTATCACACACACCATATAATGGGGCACCAAGAGCAAAGCTGGCCATAACTTTCTTAAGATGACAGATGTTCATATACACGTCACTTCATCTGTGTCCTAGTATTTGACATGCAAGTATTTCTCTTTCTTGGCTTAAAAATATGTACGATATTTTATTTTTGACAGTTTTCCCACAGCCCTTTCGTCTGATAATGAAGGATTCATGTATAGAATCATCAAAATCACAGAATGGGTTGGAAGGGACCTCAAGGATCATGAGGCTCCAACCCTCCCACCACAGGCAGGGCCGCCAACCTTCCCATTTAATATGAGACCAGCTGCCCAGGGCCCCATCCAACCTGGCCTCCAGGGATGGACGAGGCATCCACAGCCTCCCTGGGCAGCTGTTCCAGCACCTCACCACACTCTCTGTAAAGAACTTCCCCTTAACATCCAACCTAAATCTTCCCTTCTTCAACTTCAAACCATTTCCCCTTGTCCTGCAGTTATCAACCCTTTCAAAGAGTTGATTCCCCTCCTATTTGTAGGCTCCCTTTAGGTACTGAAAGGCTGCAATGAGGTCACCCCGCAGCCTTCTTTTCTCCAGGCTGAACAAGCCCAGCTCCCTCAGCCTGTCTTCATAGTAGAGCTGCTTCAGTCCTCTGATCATCTTTGTGGCCCTCCTCTGGATCCACTCCAACAGCTCTCTGCCTTTCCTGTACTGGGACCCCCAGACCTGCATGCAGTACTTGAGATAGGGCCTCATGAGAGCAGAGTAGAGAGGGACAATCACCTCCCTGTCCCTGCTGGCCATCCCTTTTGTGATGGAGCCAGTATGTCCTCTGCCAGATTAACAGACCAAACCGGCATTTATTTGGCATCAGGATCTGGTATTACAGAAACATTTTGGCAATTTTTTTTTAATTTTTTTTTTTTTCCCCACATTTTCACTATGCTGAAATACAAAACCATCCAACACGAGCAGCCTCAGGCCAGGCTGGATGTAGCTCTGGGCAGCCTAGTCTGGTGGTTGGCGACCCTGCACATAGCAGGGGGGTTGAAACTAGATGATCGTTGTGGTCCTTTTCAACCCAGGCCATTCTCTGATTCTCTGATTTGACCAAAGTGCCCAGGAAAGCTGTGTTGCAGAGATACAATATGTCTAATTTCAACAAAATCTGTTCCTTTTGGGAAAATCCACTGACTGTGTCTTGACCCATGGGGGAAGCAGAATTCAGCCTGAACTTTGGAATCCATGCTGTTGTGTCCCAAACAGGCTTCCAGTTTGAACTGCTCCTCATGTTTGTGTCTGCAATGCTCAGGGATTTGCATTTTGGCCTGAAATTTCCCACACTTGATCTTGGCCCAAGAGATTTTTATTTTATTTTATTTTATTTTATTTTATTTTATGGAAAATGATAAATAGTTTTCTTCTCAGAAAATGGCTCAGAGGCCTTTTTCATGCTCAGATAACTCCAACACAGCTTGGTTTTATAACTTCAGATTTGGCAAGTGCAGAGTGCAGTCCGGAATGAGGAATGCACTTTTTTGCCTTGTTTGAAGACATTTCATTTCGCAATAGCAAATTAGTCCGAATCTTTGGAAATAATAGACTGATCGTTCGCAAGGCGTTATTTCACCATGGTGGAGAACGACAGACCAAGCTCTATTTCTCTGGGAGGTCACGAGTCTTGCTTTATAAATATGGCTTAGCTTCCTTTTTGCAGCGTCATCTTTCCTACTAAATCTCTCTGCGTCCCCTTTTGCTTTAACTCTAGCTGCAGCAGAGGTCATTTCTGCTATATTTGCTCTCCATAAGCTAGGTTGGTTGTACGTCCTTCTCCTATGTAAGTAGACTTCAGAAATTAAGTTATGCTGAGATACACAGCCCTCAGAAGAGGAGCTCAGGAGGCAGATCTGCTGATACGCTTCAGCTGTTCTGCGCTGCCCCGGCGGTACAGCAACAAGCTGCTGTAATGAATCGGTTACTGCAGGCATAAGGTTGTTCTGTGTCACTGGAGCAGCACAGAGCTGTGAAGCATGCTGATGAATCTAGCCACAAATCTTGAAATGTCTTCTTTTTTTTCCCGTTAAAAAGCCTGTGTGAGCCGATACGCTGTGTTTAATTACATAACAGCAAGTATTGACTTGCAAGGCATGGCTGGAAAAAACCCGTCTTTGTGTTATGTTAGGCAGGCAGTGGGGTCATCCTCCTGGGAAAGAAATTTGACATCTGCCAGGAGTTGAAGTTAGTGAGATTTGTGCTGCTTTTGTAGAGTTTTGTGAATACACAAAGGGTGGATGGATGCAACGCTGCAGGCTGTCTGATAGTGCCTGCTGTCTGGACGCTCACGAAGAGCAGCTCACACGCCAGCTAAGGGGTACCACGTTACACACATGGCTGCATTCAGGTCCTGCTAAAATGGCAGAAGGGTTTCACCAGGCAGCAATACGTGGCTCTTCCAGCTCTGGCAGGACAGCCTGGTTTACAGTGGCACTGTTCTTCACTTTGTGGGCCATCTAAAATATAGGTCTGAGTGCTAATTAATTCCAAACCCCAGTCTCCCCTGTAATTCTTCTAATTTTTGGCTGTTTTCTTTTCAAATGGTCACAGTATACTCCCAGTTTGGGAGTCGGTATAGTTATTTCATTCAAGCATGTTATTTTTTTGCTGATATGTTTATACAGATAGTCTTTAGCATGGATGTTGTGGCAGGAGGCATTTGCTTTATTCTGTTCCCTCTTCCAGTACAGTTTATCCCTCTTCACACAAACAGAGCTTCTCTTCTGTAAACCATTTCTATATGACATTCACATCTTTCTCTACCTATTCCTATATGAGTAAAGACAAACACAAACTTCATTCCAGGCTGTGAGAAGGACTGGTTTGGCAAGTCTTCGTCAAACAGATTTCCTAATTTCTACCCAAGTTGGAAAATTAATCGTATGGATTGCTGTTATACACACTCAAGAAGTTACAAAATGAGCACAAATAATGGCATTCATTCTTGTCCGGAAGGCTTTGCTGCCATTTTATATTTACCTTGTATTCCTTGCCTGTGTAGGTGCAAAGCAATTGAGACCTACAAATCACATCTGTCTCCACAAGCAGTTCTTTGTCCAAAGCACCATTTCCATGACCATTTTCTGACCTGAAATATCATTCCTCCTGACCCACCCCATCCCACGTGCATTTCTGCTGTTCCTCTGCCTCCTTGGCAGTGTAGGTGCGGGTTTAATTGTCAAAAAACGAACAGAACAGATTGAAATGAATGTGATGACGAGGACGGGTGGTGTGACCACAAAAGAAAACAGAATAGCTTAGATTGGCTTTGACTGTCAAGGAGCCGCACCCTTAACCTTTTCTACAGTGCTGATCACTCTGGTGTTCTCGCACTGCACAGAGGTTTTGTTATCAATGGAACAAACACAGAATTTTATTTTTGTTATTACTGGATGAAGCATTTGAGGATATAGTGATCTTTCGTTCCTGGGCAGTGTTATTTATATTTGGAGGCTGACAATCCATCTAATTCCCCGTAGACATATAGATGAAGTTAGAAAATAATGGTAGTTTATGTGAATTCTGTTTTTCTCAGGCATTTTTATTCCTCAGAGAGACTTCCATGGGGCCAGATTACCATGAAAACTGGAATACCATGATATTTCAGTTCCATATGGTAAAAGTTCATGTCATTCATTATTGTTGACACTGTACATATATCCTTGGGGAACTATGAAAAATATAAAAATAAAACTCCTATAAAATGTGCATTTAAAAAAAAAAAAATCTATAAAAACTGCTCTTCAACTCAAATGTTCCCCAAGAAAATCTAAAGCCAATTATTCCCCAAATATGGAAATTTCAGGCCACAGCTGAAACATCCAGGAGAGTTTCTGGAGGATGTACATTGCAACAACACCAAGGCCATCATGGTAGAGGACAGCCACTGAAAAGACCAGTGATGCTCTCTGTGCTGCCCCACACCTTGCCTCTTCCTTCTGATTCAGTTGCACCTGATAGATGTGCAACTAAGGGTGAGTTTAATCTGTGGGTTTTTTTTGGAAGGTTAGTTTGCCGTTGAATCCTGTGTAGTCAAGAGAGAAAGAGAAGGTGCTTGAGAGTCCAGTTCAGAGCTATCGAGGCCGCTCTGCCTTGACTATCAGAAGTGCTTAGGATCATAGAATCATAGAACGGCCTGGGTTGAAAAGGACCACAATGCTCATCCAGTTCCAACCCCCTGCTATGTGCAAGGTCTCCAACCACCAGACCAGGCTGCCCAGAGCCACATCCAGCCTGGCCTTGAATGCCTTCAGGGATGGGGCATCCACAGCCTCCTTGGGCAGCCTGTTCCAGTGTGTCAGCACCCTCTGTGTGAGGATGTCATCTCACTGGATGTCTGACTCATTCCTTAGCTGCTCAGGTAGCTGGGTAAAGCAAAGAGAATTAACACAGGCTTAACTGTAATAAGAAAGTATAGACTAAGGGATTATTAATGGAAGATCACTTGGGGGTACAGTGCATCAATGCAGGATTAAGAAATGTCTTAATTTCAGGCTAACTAGAGAGTCATTGTAATGCCCTTAAGGCTTGCTATGGGACTTGCACATAAAGGGTAATGCCATGCCAATCCAGCCTCAGAATTATGAAAGGATGAACTGGGTCACAAGTCCACGATTTCAGAGAGCAAACAGACAGCACTTCAAGAAATTGTTTTTGAAACAGGCACATAGGAAAAGGGAACTTTCAAAAGTCCTCCTGAAAAGTGGTACTGTAAGAGGTGGGCCTGGGGGAGATCTTATTTTCCTTCTGCTAGAACAAAATGACGCAGGGCATAAAAGGAAATTTATGTTGAGACTTTCAGCTTTTGGTGAGCTGTGCTATAAACCTGTATGTCTATTTTTTTGACCATTAACAATTAGAGCTCCTTCACGCAATAGTGAAAACTGTATTTCAAAATGAGCTATTTTATTTACTTAAAATGTTCCCCCATCATCCCTCACTGTCTGTTACTGTGTACAGTTGTTCTTTCAGAACAGTGATGAATGCAGTTTGGTGGGGGTGGGAATGCTGGGAGGAGGTATAACTTCTTGAATAATTATCACTATCTTTGTAAAGTTTGCTGAAGTTCTGGTATGAGGGAACTTCTATAAATCATTTGAGTTAATGCTCCTTTGTGGTACTGAGACTTCACCCATGGACTGTCCTTAGTGGTGTGTTATTAGAGGCAGTGCATTATTCTATCCAAAGCTATATTGACTTCCCCCATCCGGCTTTTTGACAAAGTGAGATCTGTATAAAATCACATTTCTTCTTCTCAAAACATAAGGAACAAATATTTTATATTCAGTAAAGAGAATGTAAAAGGAAGGTGCCTTGTTGGTGTGGGAGAGGGACGTAAAATGATATCACATTTGGCCACTTACCTCATCTCCATGCACATGCATATGCACATGTATGCAGAAATCTGGCAGTAAGTTTACTTCTCCCTGTCTTCAGTGTCTTCCAATGCTACAAAACACTATAAAACTGTCAAGAGAAGCCTTCTGACAGTAACATACATCAGGCCATGAAAGGAACTCTCCCAGCGAGTGGTGAAAGCCCTATGAACAACAGTGATTCTCAACATGATGTGCACAAATTTGACATAATGTGATCTACAAAACATGACTTCCAGACATTACTGCTACACAGAGGCATGGGTCGGTTTCGGGGCTTAGCTAACCTCAAAAAGCAGAACCATTCCTAAGAAAGAATTTATACTCAAGTTCATGTCTTCTGGCTGGAAACTCAGATACCAAGGTGACACCACAGCCTTTATTTACAACTACGCAAAATGCTGAAAACTCTCTGGAAGACAGTATTGGAACAGCCTGAAAAAAAGCCTGTTACTTTAGGAGAGGAATTTATTAAGAGGTACCAAGTTAGGTGTCCAGCCCGTACTGAACTGGGTTGCGATCTGAGCAGCTCTCAAGGGTTCTTTGAAAATCCTAACCTGAAATTCATAGAATCTCTGAATCATAGGACGGCTTGGGTTGGAAGGGACCCTAAGGATCATCAAGTTCCAATTCCCTGCTAGATTTCTGTCTATCCTAGAGTTAGTATAGGAGAAGTCTCTGTGGGAGACCTCTGCAAATGAGATCAGAACTGAACCATGAAATGCTGACAAAGTCATCTGGAGCACATGGAGCTGTGCTCAGTGATGAGCCTACCATTTCATTATTTTTGTGTTTATTACATCTTTTTTATTGAATGTGCTGTTTTTCTTTTATCTGCAGCTTTTATTTTGATTTGTATTTCATTATGATTTAGTTTCATTTGATAGTTCTCAGTCTATTTACAGAGAACAAAAGAATGCACAATGTAGAACAGTAGAATAATAGTGTTTATTTTCACAAGTTTGGAACGATCAAATAACTCACAAGTCACAAAGTGGAACCATGCCTGAGGTAGGTTAGGTCATCTCAAGTGTGTGGAAACAAACAGAAATATCCCATTCTTCACTATTGTTTATTATATTTATGCCACTTGGGAGTTTTAACAATACCACATATATAAAACATTTGTTCTTGCTTTCTGCGCTATTCAGGGTTTTCTCAAGGATCTTTGGTGCCTTTTTTCATAGGAACACTGTGATGCTGCTATGCTTTGGTGACTTTCTCAACTGATTTAGCAGAACTGTAAGAAATGGCCCCCATGAATGAGCCAGAAGTGCTGAAAAGGAGGTTTTGTTCTCTGAATGCTTCTGTGTTTAAAAATGGTTCTTTTGAGAGTTGTAACTGGCTTATTTCAACTTCTCAATTCTTTTTAATGTACATTTAAAGCTCAGACCAACAGAGAGAAACTAAAAGTGTGCTGGTGACGATCAGGTGCTGTGCAGTCCCATCAGATTGATTTTTATAACACTTTTGTCTTTGACAGGAGGTCCAAACGTGGATGTCTAAAGCCACATCTACCTGCTTAATCCTGCGATTTAAAGAGCTAAAAGTCATCATGGGAGCACAGCTTCTTTCATTTGCAACTGCTCACAGTACTGGACATCCAGAGTCCTGCTAAGGACGATGCAGTTTATCAAACCAGCTTTGCACGGTAACCTAAAATTGTGGCCATTTTGCTGGGAAACACAGACCTGTAAAATGCAGTGATTCAGCATCTGCATCTTAAGCTGCTGAATTTCACTCCTGGATGTCTAAGAGCTGGCAGCAGGAGTGATCAGACGCCTAAGGCTATTTCAACATGGGCATTTGAAAATTAAGTCAGTGAAATTTACTGTTCATTATTCCTCTGGAAAATTCAGGCTTAAATTGAAAGCCTTTTCAATAGTGCTGAGTTCCTCGAAACTATCATTGCTTTTCAAAGGAGCTCAATTGCTTTAGAATAACTACATTTTATCTATGGTCTTAGCAGCCCAACTTTATGGACTGACAGTTTTATTGCAGAAACTTAAAGTGTGTTAGGACTTCAAACAGGGAAAAAATGGCTTCTTCTGAGTCTTTTCTTAGTTTTACAAAGCTATTCATGACTATGAAAAAATTCCTGTGATTGGAGCATAAATAATGTTGCAGTAATAACCTCATATAAGATGGGAATGGCTGAGGGGACAGAGAAACAACATTTTTTTACTAAAGGATTTCATCATTCATTCCTCTCTGTTTTTCTGTCCTGCTTTGGGAAAGATGTAACATCTGCAGAGCTGAAGAGCACAGCCAACAACCAGTTGCTTCTTCCAGCTTGCACCTGCCCTGCCCTTGAGGTCAGACTTCTCTATAAGAGATTTATCTCAGAACTCATTCAAGAGGCCCAGAACTCTACTTCTCTCCTTCCCATTCATATCCATAGGAAGGTGAGCACCATCTGCTTGTTTGAAGGCTGCTGCCCCCACCTGGCACGAAGAGGTGAAGGATGTGGTACCTGCACAGGACAGGTCTTTCCTGACTGCTGAATGTGAGAAACATCACAGAGGGAGGAAGGGGATGTGAGTTCCAGAGACAGCACTGTGATTGCAGGGAGCATGGGCAGATATACGTTTTGGTAGCATGCAATTTTTCCACCCTAAAAGATTTTATTTCCATTTGGATGGAGTAGTGACATAGGCTGGCAGTAGAAGTAGGTTGTTGCAGAGGTTTAGGAATGTTGGTTGAATGAAGGCAGAAAAACAGCCTTTATTACCCAGCTGGAGGGATTTCAAGCAGGTTGAGGTACATGGAGTACGCAAGATGTTATTCTGCATTCTTTTCAAACTACTGAGAGCATTTTCTCGAAAAGCAGGAAATGAGCAGAGAAGTAGCTGCTCCTTTGGGTCCCAGTTCCCATTCTGGGCTGCTGCTGGAGTGGTGTCCATGTGCACTGCCTCTGGTTCCTCCTATAGTGATCCCAGTGGCTCAGTTTAGCCCTTCATGGCTCACTTCAGCCAATTCTGTCACCTGATACAGAAAGAATAAATCAGCACTTCCAGGAACAGCAGCACCATAGACAAAACACAACGGAAATACAATTCTTCTGGAGTGAGAAGCATGAACATAGCTCAGTATGTCATCTCTTGGTTTAGCCTACAGAATCAGTGTGGTGAACACTACGGTTCTGATTTCTTGATGTAATCTTTGCTAAGTGGCTCTGAACAGCCTGGTCTGGTGGTTGGCCACTCTGCACATAGCAGGGAGGTTGAAACTGGATGATCATTGTGGTCTTTTTCAGCCCAGGTCATTCTATGATTCTTTGATTCTATGAAAGATTTCAACGTTTATGTCTGGAAAAAATCCAGATCTGTATAAACTGGAGGACATTATTGTGTGTATTAAAATGTTCACATGGTATTATCCCACAACCCTTCCCATATTTATTTTGGAAATCATTACATCTGGAAAATGGGAAAACTTCCAGTTAATTCTTTTACCTTGAAATATCAGCAAACACAAGGGGATGTTGAGATTATTCCCTGCTAAAAAAGAAAAAAAGAACAAGTAGGACTCAGGACTATAAGCCAAAAGAGAATCCTTCTTCAAATAATGCATCACGGCTTAAGCTTACCATTGGGAAAACAAGGGTGAAAAGTGATTCTTAAAGGGCTTCTGTACTCAGCTCTGGGGAGGTTGTACCTTGAGTACAGTGTTTGTTTTGGGCCCCTCAAAAAGACACTGAGGCCCTGGAGCATGTCCAGAAAAGGGCAGCTGAGATGTGAGTGGTCCGGAGCATGAATCTTATGGGGATGGGCTGAGGGAACTGGGGTTGTTCAGCCTGGAGAAGAGGAGGTGCAGGAGACCTTATTGCTCTCCACAGCTCCCTGAAAGGAGGTTGTGGTGAGGTGGGGGTCGGCCTCTTCTCCCATGTAACAGTGATAAAAGGTAATGGGTTCAAGTTGCACCAGGGGCTGTTCAGGTTAGATATTAGGAAAAATTTCTTCTCCAAAAGAGTGGTGAGGCACTGGCACAGGCTGCCAGGGAGACAGTGCAGTCACTGTCCCTGAAAGCATCCAAGAGCATGGAGATGTGGCACTGAGGGATGTGGTCAGTGGGCATGGTGGGGATGGGTTCATTGTTGGACTAGCTGATCTTAGAGGTCTTTTCCAACTTTAATGATTCTGTGATTCTAATGCCAGCTCAATGAATGGCCACTCACTGCCATTCTAGACAAGCATGACAAGCTTTAGGGAGCTTATGGTTTACACCTACAAAGCAAATTATAGCCTGCACTTACACTTGGGCCAGATCTTGAGAAGAAATGGAGATTGGTGAAGCTCTCTCCAGATACCACTGATGGCGTGATGCTCCAGACCCTTCTCAAAGGCTTTCAGTTCTCTCCTGAAATTCACTTTTTACAAATTTCCTGGCAATATTCTGACAGTGCCCTAAGAGAGCACACAGCACAGCCACATTTCTGAGATCCTCTGCAGTTTACCGAGGGAAGCAGGTGTCTGTCAGTGTGCATACTGTGTTCACCTGCACTGACCCGAGCTGAAAGATGCATTTGTTCCCCAACCTTCATAGCAGCACAGTAATTTTTAATGAGGATTTAATAGAACTTTATAATGGAAGCATGAGACAGTAACAAGAATAGCAAGAGAACAAGCAGAAGGACAAAATAAGAGTAGAAGCATGAGAAAAGTGGTTGCAAACCCTACTCTCCTAGAGAGGGCAGTTCCTGGTGGACAAGAGGAGCTGCTTACAGAAGCACAGCTCAGGAAGGCACTGAGAACTGCACAAGCATCAGGGAAAAGCTGGATCACCTGTCCCAAGGGAGCAAACAAATACATGGCAAAAAAAGCAACAAGTTGGAAAGCACTATGAGAGAGGAGAGAGGGCAACACTCTGCACTGCTTCCAAATCAAAATGGTTCCAGATTGTTGTGATGCATAAAAACGTTTAGAAGGAAGATTTCCCAGATTCTTCTGCACTTGGAATGTGATGCCTCCTGTGATGGGAAGTTCCCTGTTTGGCTTATTTCTTTGGTTCCTTTTTTTTTTTTTTTTTTTTTTTTTTGGCTGATTACCTATCTGTAATAAGTTCTGATCCAGACCACCTCCTAAGACTGACCAGCAGGGCAAGGGTGGTGTTCCTGCCCCTCTGCTCTGCTCTATGAGACCTCACTTGGAGCACTGTGTCCAGATTAGTGGAGTCCTCAGTACAGGAGAGACATGGAGCTTTTGGAGTATATCAAAATGATCCAAGGGGTGGAGTGTTCCACCCCTCCTACACATACAGGCTGAGAGAGCTGGGGCTATTCATCCTGGAGAAAAGCAGGCTGCAGGGAGAATGGAGAGCAGCCTTACAGTATCTAAATGGGGGCTGTGAGAAAGAAGAAAGACTCTGTAGCAGGGTCTGTGGGATAGGACAAAGGGAAATGGCTTCAAATTAAAGAGGGGAGATGTAGGTTGGATATAAGGAAGAAGTTTTTTCCAATAAGGTAGCGAAGCACTGGCACAGGTTTTCTATAAAGGTGGTGGATGCCCTGTCCCTGGAGACACTCAAGGTCATGTTGGATGGGCCTATGAACACCTGATTGAGCTGTAGGTGTCCTTGTTCATTGCAGGGGAGTTGGACCAGATGATCTTGAAGAGTCTCTTCCAGCTCAAACAATTTTATGATTCTATGGTGACTCACTGTGAGGGCAAGCAGAATTCTTCACACCTCCATCTACTGTCGTGGGCTGAGATCCCTAATTTCCCTTGCAGATAGCAGATTTGTTAGACACTGAAGATATTAGTAGATAATGTTATCAGACAGTGAGACCCTCAGAAACCTGGAAAGGTGGACAGTGCTTTTCTGCATGCAGCCATTGCCACCTGAGACATCTGTATGCCAGTTAGCATCAGTATAGGTGAGCTGTAGAGCTGTAGTGCTGTCCAATAAGAAGGGGGTCGTGCCAAAGCCTGAGACATAAGTGGGAGTCTGGCCCAGCTAATGTTTGAAAGTTGCATTCTGTCAGCTCAGCTGCAAATGGATGTATTCAGCTAGAAGAGTGCAGGGCAGTAGGATGCTGCTACATCGCTCACCTGTCTGGCAGAAGGCACAGAAACTGGGATATCGTAGCTGTCCTTTAATGAGGCTTACATGCATCTGACATTTTTGACTGTGTAAACTTCAATCTTGATGTCCTGGTATATATGACATTGCTGAATTAGTGAGGACCTGGAGTAAGCCGAGCACTCAGAACACTCAGTTCCCCCGTCACTTACGCTGCTTAGCAATTAGCTTACACTCTGCCTTTGGTTTTAGGACTACTCAGAAAAACACTCTCCAGGACACCCAGATGTTTATTACAAGGCAAGTCCTGAGCCACATCACCCAGCTTCACACCAAGGGACCAATCCCTGGCATGCATTTATTAGCTTTATTGATGCAGCCTGGTATTCTCAGGATGCAGCCTTGTTCATATGGCCAGGAGAGCTCCTGAATGCCCCAAGAACATAAGGAGGTAAAAGTAAAGATTCACAATGCTTTTTGAAGTGAGTCTCTTCCTTTCCAAGACACTGCTGTCCCTGTTCCAACTAAGGCTGAGCTCCCAGGACAGCCCAGCCTGGAATGGGCTGTTAGGGTTTTCCCATGCTACTTCACCCCTAGGGCTTCCCAGAATAGAGGACTGCAACCCAATGGAACAGAGCCTGGAGCAAAGTCAGTGCTGTGGTGCCTTCTTCGTTAGTGCACAGCCAGAGTTGGCAGAGATCCCAAACCTCCTGCTCAGGTCCGAGCAGAGCTGCTGCACATGTGAATGAGGCTGGGTTTTCCTTTATCAGGAGGTGTTTTCCTAAGATGGGCTGGGCAAATCCATATATTAGGCAACAACTGCCATTTCTGCCTGCAAACAGTTCTTTAATCAGAGCACTGCAGAAGCAAGAAGTGATGCACTGGGTCACTGAACCACAAGATCTGCAGAGCTGCTCCAAGGTCTGCTCTGAAAGAAACATCTCCTATTTTACTGTGCTGGCCCACGATGTCAGAGGAGAATGTTAGTGGGATGGCAGTAGAGGTTGAACATTCCCACCAGTATTCCGTTATGTTTTGTTGCTGTGTGACAGACGGCAGCAGTGGGGCAGTCTGACAAAATGGTGTCTTACATGGAAGGGCATATGAAGCAAAGGTGTGGAACTGAATCCCTCCACAAGGGAACTGGAGGATGAAATAGCCAAGCCTCTATCCATCATATTTGAAAGGTCATGGCAGTCTGGTTTCCGCTGACTGAAAAAGGGGAAACTTAACCCCCATTTTCAAGAAGGGAAAAAAAGAAGATCCAGGGAACTACAGGACAGAGAGTGTCACCTCTGTGCCTGGCAAGATCATGGAGCAGATCCTCCTGAAAGCCCTACTAAAGCATATGGAAAATAAAGATGAGGTCATCAGTAGTAACCAACATGGCTTCACCAAGGGCAAGTAATACTTGACAAGCTTGGTGGCCTTTTATGATGGAGTTACAGCATGACACCATCTACCTGGACATGTGCAAAGTGTTTGACACTGTCCCACATAACATCCTGGTCGCCCTGTTGGAGAAAAATGGATTTGATGGATGGACCACTCACTGGATAAGGAGTTAGTTGGACGGTCACACTTAGAGAGTTACTGTTAGTGGCTCAATGTCCAAGTGGAGACCGGTGAGGAGTGGTGTTCCGCAGAGATCAGTACTGGGACCAGTGTTTTTTAACACCTTTGTAGGCAGCATGGACAGTGGGATCAAGTGCACCCTCATCAAGTTTGCAGATGACACCAAGCTGAGTGGTGCAGATGACATGCTAGAGGGAAGGAATGCTATCCAGAGGAACCGGGACAGGCTGGAGAGCTGGGCCCATGCCAACCTCACGAAGTTCAGACAGGCCAAGTGCAAGGTCCTGAACCTGGGTTGGAGCAATCTGAAGAACAGGTACAGGTTGGGTGGAGAATGGCTTGAGAGCAGCCCTGAGGAGAAGGATTTGGGAGTGTCAATTGAAAGATTCAACATGAGCCTACAATGTGCACTTGCAGCCCAGAAGGTCAACTATATCCTGGGTTGCATCAAGAGAAGCGTGACCAGCAAGGTGAAGGTGGTGATTCAGTTTCACTGGTAAAAATGCACAGCTAATGGTGGTGACTATATTGAAAAACAGTGTTCTGTAGCTGAAAATTTGCTCTATCGAACAGTGTTACTGTGCTCTTCGAAACTTGTGGATGCAAGTTTCCAAGGAATTAAATATGAAGCATTACTTTTGGAACAACCTGCTGGAAATACATGGTCTTGCATCAATAGGAGGCTTCCTGGGAGGAGTGTAAAACATTAGGGTGAAATGAGGAGCAGCGGAGATCCCTGATGTGCTCAGCCCAGAGCAGAGCAAGCTGAGGGGAGGCCTGATGGTGGTTGCAGCTCCTCACAGGGAGCGGAGGGCAGCGCTGAGCTCTGCTCTGTGTGACAGCGACTGGGCCTGAGGGAACAGCATGGAGCTGTGACAGGAGGTGGGGAAAGGGGCTGCACCAGAGGGCGGTGGGCATGGAACAGCCTGGAACAGCCTGCCTGGGCAGTGGGCATGGCCCCGAGCTGCCGGAGCTCAGGGAGCGTTGGGACAGTGCTCTCAGACATTGGGTTCGGTTTGGATGGTCCTATGTGGATCCAGGAGTTGCACTCAGTGATCCTTGTGGGCCCATTCCCACTTGGGATATTATATGGTTCTATGATCTGGCTGCAGGTTCTATGATCCGGCCCTACTAGGTCATTATCTGCCAGCCAAGCTTCACACAACTCCTCACTCAGCCACTGTACACCCTGTACCCAGCACGGACTGTTCACAAACTTCACAGACACCACAGGACATCCCAGCACGTTGGGCACACAAACAGCCAGCACTGCAAGCTGGGCCACGTGCCAGGGCTGCAGCTGACCTGGCTGCAGAACCACCCCTGCCCTCCAGGATTCTGTAGCCCAACTTACAAGGCTGCGGGGTAACCTCACTGCAGCATTTCAATACCTAAAAGGAGCCTACAGAGGGGAGGGGAATCAACTCTTTGAAAGGGTTGATAACTGCAGGACAAGGGGAAATGGTTTGAAGTTGAGGGAGGAGAGATTTAGGTTGGATGTCAGAGAGAAGTTCTTTACAGAGAGTGTGGTGAGGTGCTGGAACAGCTGCACAGAGAGGCTGTGGGTGCCCTGTCCATCCCTAGAGGTGTTCAAGGCCAGGTTGGATGGGGCCCTGGGCAGCCTGGTCTAGCATTAAATGTGGAGGTTGGTTGCCCTGCATGTGACAGGGGGGTTGGAGATTCATGATCCTTGAGGTCCCTTCCAACCCAGGCTATTCTGTGATTCTGTGACCCCGAAGCTTTAAGCAACCTCAGATCCCAATGTTCCCCCTCCCCCCCATTCGCTTTCCCAGACACTGATGCACTCAGGTGCAGATGCTCCCATCAGTGAGACTCCTTCCAGCACTCCCAGGACTGCACACACACCCCTGATTTGCAACTCCCCCTCCTTAGCTTTGCCATCCACCTCTCCAGTTTGCAGCCCCTTCCACTTGATTCCAACCCCCTCCTTATTTGCAACCCCTCCATCTCTTTGCGATTCCCCTCCCCATTGTGCAACTCCCCATCGGTTTGCAATGCCCCCCCCCGATTTGCTACTCCCCCATCTATCTGCAATTCTCCTCCTCAGTCTGCAATCCTTCTACCCCATTATTTACAACCCCTCATCGGTTTGCAACGCCCCCATCGGTTTGCGATACCCCCTATCTATCCTTATTCGCAACGCCCATCTATTTCCAGTTCCCCCTCCCCAGTTTGCCACCTTCCACCGTTTTGCAGTCGCCCATTTTGCAGCAATTCCACCTCCCCGGTGGTTTGCAAGCTTTCACCTATTTACAGTTCCCCACCCCAACATCCATTTAAACTCCCCCTCCCCCATCAATAAATCAATTCTTAACCCATCCCCAGAGTTTGCGATCTCCCTCCTTAGCTCACTTAACTCCCCTCGCCCCGCCGCCATCGCTTCCCAACCCGCCTCCCCGCTCGGCAGCCGCCAGCCTTACCCCCGCCCCCCGGCGCCGCGGATTGGCTGCGGGCCTCACGCGAGCCCGGCTGGGAGGGGGGGTGGAAGCGGCCGCAGTTGCCCGCGAGTAACCCCGCCGCCGGTAGCGCCCCGCGCGACCTTTCTCCCGCATCGGCGGTGACGCGGCGGGCGCGCGCGCGCGCGCTCGCCGTCTCCCCCCCCCACCTCCCTTCATCCTCTCGCGCGCGGCAAGATGGCGGCGCTGAGCAAGTCCATCCCCCACAGCTGCTACGAGATCGGGCACACCTGGCACCCGCGCTGCTCCGTCGCCGTCCTGCATGTCACGCAGAGTGCGCTGGCCGAATCCCTCCGCATCTACGGCACTCTGTACCTGGTGGGTGGTGGTCGGCTTGGGGGTGGGTTATGAGGGAAGGGGGGAGGAGGAGGAGGTGTTTGGGAAGGGTGGGGGTGTCACGGTGGGCTCTGTGGGCTGAGAGGTGTGAGGGTGAAGGGCATAGAGGAGCGTTCTGGGGAGGAGATGGCGTGGGGTGGTGGTAATAAGGGCTGTGGGATGGGCGAGCTGGGTGAGCTGGGTGAGGAGGACGCTGGGTGTGCTATTTTCAGCATTTCCTGGAGTGGTGAGGCTTGAAATAGGGAACAACAATGTGCCCAGCAGGTTAGCGTTATGTCTTTGGCAGCAGTAAGTGCACCACGCGCGTGGTGCTAGTGGTGGCACCTTGGGGATGGAATCGTGGCTAATCAGTGCCTTAGAATCAAGGAGGTTCCACTGTGTAATAAAGAAACAAGGCTGAAGGAATATATTAAGGCTTAGAGGAGCTGAAGTAGTCAGAGAGTATCCTACAGGTGAGGTATTTTGGTCTGGGCGTGCAATTAGGCTCGGTTATATCATCTCCATTGCGGCTGGCTTGTGTCCAGCAAGTTAGGGTGTAGGTAGAGGAGTTGGCAACTGTTTGCATCCATCTGAGTAAACATATCCTGAAAGCTGATCTAAGCTGAAAGCGCTGCAGGTATTTTGCTGTCCCCACCTCCGTGTTCTGGTTGTAACGGTGCTCACAGGGCTGAGCAGTGAGCTGGCTGCAAGTGGAGTCTGGAGCAAAGTAAAGCAAGTCACTGAGTCATAGAATCGTGAAGTTGCTTAGGTTGGAAAAGACCTTAAAGATCATGGAGTCCAAACACAACCTAACCATGCTACCCTAACAACCCTCTGCTAAATTGTGTCCCTGAGCACCACATCCAAATGGTTTTTAAACACGTCCAGGGATGGTGACTCAACCACCTCCTTGGGGAGCCTATTCCAGTGTTTATCAACTCTTTTAGTAAAAGAAGTTTTTCCTGATATCCAACCTAAACCTCCCCTTTCTCCTGCTCTGTGCCAGTGCCGGTGTTATAAAGATATCAAGACATAAAAGAGAAGACAAAGAGTGGAACCGCTGCAGTCCTGGCATGATTACTTTAAGCTCCCATTGAATGAAAATTGTGAGAGCATCAAATGACATGCTAAGGAAACTTAATGGCTGTTTGGTAACACTGTGGTCTTAAATGGTTGTCGTGTCTGGCCGTGAATGTTTTCATGCTGAACTGGCACAAACAGAAGTTGCCACTGTTTATGTGAGTGTATGCTGGGCTGGAACAGGAAGCCAATACCAAGGACGTGTCCTCTTCTCTACCTCCCCACCTTCCTTCAGTAATTTTTCCTCTGTGTGGTCTTGGACTTTGAATCTGCTCAAGAAGAGCTACGATAATTCATTCACTAACCCAAAAAGAGCTTTGTCTCCTGCCTGTAGCGAGGCTGAATTTTCATCTGCATTAACGAATTGAATTGGCCTTTTAGGAGGGTTTTGATGAGCACCAGAACCAGCAGCAGGTGAAAACTGAAAGGGTGCAACTGTGGAGGATGAAGGAGAAGCCTTGCACATTAAGTAGCTTGGCAGGGAAAGAGCACTGCTGAATTAAGAGTCATCCCTGAAGTGATTCTTTGTTGGACTTAAAGCTGTATTTGAAAACCTTGTATTTGTTAGTGAAATATCGTGGTTGCACAGCACAAACGTTCTGTCCTACATTTAAAGTCACGTGGTAGAGTGAATTCAAATTGCTTTATCTTTGTAGTCCTGTCAGTGGATGTTCGGAGTGTTGCTGGTACTGCTTAGTCCCAGTCTAACAGCACAGCATCAAGAAGTTTCCACTTCTGTTCTGCTTGTTTGTTCCTTCTGTTGCCATACGCAAATAACCAAGGCAAGTAGATGAAAGAGTTTGTTCTCAACAGCTTGTGTGGAAATGAATCAGTATGAAAGGATGAGAAGACATTGCCAGAGGTCATTCTGGGAGAGAAGGATGTGTGGTTAGGGACAGTCACAGTCTGGAGTCCAAACTCATAACATCTACACCCCACACCTCTTAAAAGTTTGGGTGCTCTTGTGTTGTTGAGAGACTGATGGAGCCTAATTTACGTGATACTGCTGTTTGATGAGCAACTTTCAGTGCATAACTATGAGAAGTCTTTGCTTCGAAATGCTGCTGTTCAGTGGTGGTTTTTTCTTGTTCCTGTTAGTATATAACAGAGCTTCTGTATTTTTTGACTTGGCAAAAAGTCTTTAGATCATACTTTCACGGACGTTATTTTCACCCTAGGATTAGTTGATTGCTTTAGCAAAAGTAGATTTTGTATCTAAGTGGAAATGTCCCTCCCTGAGAGTATACTTAGTAACCATACAGTCATTTGTAGATGTAGCCAGTGATCGAGTGGTCCTTTATTTGTTTTCTAGGTGCTTGGGTCAGCTTGCAAAGCTTTGGTAATAGGGAGGGTGAAGGCAAAGAGAAAGGAAGATTCTCCCTCTCTGGGAGGGTTGGTATGAGCTCAGGCTCATTGGGTGTTAAATCTGGCAAGGAATGTCAATGCCTGCAGGAAGGGCTGCTTCAAATGCATCAGTAGCAAAGGGAAGACTGGGGAAAATGGGCCCTGCTGCTGCACGGGGTGGGTGCTCGTGATGAACGATGCAGGGAAGGTGGAGTATTACTTGAAATATTTGTATTGCTTCACTACAACCTCAAAAATGATTTTGGTGTCCTAAAGAGGATTCCATAATGTACTGAAGTAATTCATTATCTATAACAAGCTATGTATGTGTTCCACAATGTGCAGTTAATTGTACTGCCATTAAAATAAATAGGAGTCAAGTTGTATGAGAATTTTGTTTAGGAGAACTCTGTGGTGAAAGCATGTATGAGCTGCTGTTGTGTGTTATGGTTCTTTACATTCTCGGTTAGAATGCTGTAATATAGCTTCCCTCTGAGTTGACAGAGTTTGTGCTTTTCATTTTCAACGCTTGAACTTTTTTAAGGTTGTTTCTATGAGGAAAGTGATGCTAAAATAGTTTTCCACGTGTTGTCCTTGTTAATTTTTTCTTTAACAAATATTTATGCGAAGGAAGTTTTCGTAATTGTGGTGATGTTTTTTGGGGCTGAGTAGCTGGATCAGTTCTGTGCACTACGTTTTCAGGACATCTCGGTAAGCACTGCTGCTCCAAGTGCTGTGGGTTGGGCCACTCTCCAGAAGAGATCAGAAGACAATGTGGGTTTATGTTGTGTGTAGGGTTGCAGTCTGTGTGTGTAAACACTGCTGCTTACCTGTCTCTTCACCCATCTATCCATTAGTGACGCGCCTACAGAACCATTTGTGTCTGTATTATTCCTTAATAAATGAAGGCTGAGCTATTACTTATCTTGGTTCTTCATTAAGTGATAGTATCCTTCAGGAGAATGGATCTTCCTGGCATTCATACACTGCACAGTAATGTGGTATTTGGGTGGAGATGTACATCTGGCTGGTGGCTTTGTTTGGTTGGAAGCACCCACGTAACCTGTAAAACCTTTTAGATCCAGAGATACCTGAATGCCTGAGCAACCTGAAATACCTTCTTGGAAAATGTCAGCCATGTCCTACTGCTCCTTATGTGTCTGCACTTTGGCTCAAATGGAGCCACGTTTGGATATAAAGGTCATTTCTAAACACCCTGATGGGTTGATGTGAGCTGCAGATTCCTCTGGAACGGAATTTCTTTCATGCAAAAAAGCTAAGTCATCAAGTCCTGAGTTTATAGGTGATATTTTGATATTTTATTATGCATTCAGAGTTAAGTTCTATTTTTTGAGCCACTAATCCTCTGAAACGTCATGAAAATAACTGGTGAGGTTTTAGGATTAGAGACCACTTGAGTCAAGCTGCTGTGTGCAGACAGAATGAGAGGGTAAGAAGGTGGCAACCTGAAGAATTCGGAGGTTATGATGGGTATTTGGTGTCGCTACCATTTTGGATATAAAGTGGCTGGCAGGAATGCTTGTTTTGTAATTAAGACTGCTTACATTTTACAAGTGAAGCATTCCTTTGTGTAGCTCTTCTGAGAGGTTTGCTTTCTTTGGATCATAGAATCATAGAATGGCCTGGGTTGAAAAGGACCTCAAAGATCATGTAGTTTCAACCCCTGCCACGGGCAGGGTCACCAACCACCAGCCCAGGCTGCCCAGAGCCACATCCAGCCTGGATGTACAGCTCCAAATTCAACCAATTGATTATAGCAGCTGCTCTCAGTTGTGATCTTGTATTTTAGGTGCTCATGCCTTTCCCAAAAGAGAGAGATGCCTTCCGTGTGTTGGCTGAACAACAGAGCATCTGGCTGTACTCTTAGGGGAACTCTTTAGATCCAAGTCTTACTTAGCCTGTACAATGCAAACCTGCATCTTTTGTAAGCTATCCTGATCAGCCGGCCAGGATGTGATGTTTCTCTTCAGTCCTTATTTTGAACCATTGAATCATTAAGGTTGGAAAAGACCACTGAGATCATCCAGTCCAACCATGGACCCATCCCCACCATGCCCACTAACCTTGTCCCTCAGTGCTGCATCTCCACATTACGTGAACACTTTCAGGGATATTAACTCCACCACCTTCCTGGGCAGCCTGCTCCAATACCTCCCTGCTCTTTCTGAGCAGAATTTTTTTCCTAATATCCAACCTGAACCTCCACTGGTGCAACTTGAGGCCCATTACTGCCATGCTGTGCAACAGAAGAGAAACTTAGTAACTCCAGAAGAGTAAGATATAACAGGTACTGAACTTCATTGATTCATAGCTCACCAGGAAGGTTCTGAAGCGTCATTGTCGGTAGTTACAGCATTTATTGAGGCTTCCAGATGAAAGGAGGTAAGGGAAAAAGTTAAAAATTGCTGAACTCCAATCTTAAAATAACAAACAAAAAAACAACAAAGCAACCACCTATAAATGTAGACTTGTTTAAAACTTGTCTGCCTTGATCTTTTAAGAAAATTTTGCTAAAGACCTTCAAGTTGATGTGCTTTACCTCCAAAGCTCCTTAAGAT